ATATAGAAATCCAAATATACTGATGTACACATGGAACTTATATAGTTATAAGCCAGTGTTACCTCAATAAAAAATTATTTAAATAAATTAAAAAATAAAAACAAGAACATGTATTACTTTTATACTTTAAAGTTAAAAAAAAATCAAAACACTATCAGAGTTTAGATTTATACCAAAACATAATTATATTGCATGGATCCTTATTCCTTCTATTAGAAAATACAAAACGAAGAGCCTTTCATTTTGTGGTCAAATAGCATTTATTTATTTGAGAATAACATTGATTTTGTGTCCCAAGTGTTAATGATATGTGGTGTGCCCTCCTGCCCAGTTCAGAGGTTTTTATAAAAGATCTAACAGCACTTCCTGTTTTGGAGACTTACCTACCCTTTCTTCTACCTATATGCTACTGAGTTTTTATTTAACCAGTGGGCTTTATAAGAGCCCAAAAGTAATGCAAGTTTTTGCTCTAGATCTTACTGTAATTTGGTTAGGCAAGCTGGTAGATTTTGTCACTATACTTCTGCTTTAGAAAATGCCATTCATCACTTATAAGAGGTGCCACTCTCAGAACCAAAATCAGTGTGAGACCCATGTCACAATTGCTGTCTAAAATATTATTCAGACCCTCCTGTCTACAGTCCCCCGACGTTATAGTTCTCCAGTCTTATGTTTAACAGAGCGTAGGGTTTCTTTAGCTAAGAACTTCTTAAACAAGGCTATTCCGTGTCACATGTTCTTTACTAGTTTGTTTTAACAACTGAACTCCCTTCTCTATTCTGATACACACTGGACCACTTTCAAACCATTGTCTTGCCAAGAAAAGGCTTTCCATAATTAATACGATAAAATGACAAGTGGTTGTCCTCTCCCCAAAAGTACTCAGAAAAATTCTGGCTTATAAAACACAGTCATTTCCTCCAACACCAGCCACACTAACCATATAGAGGTAAGTCTTCTGCATTGAGTTGGTTGAAAGCCTTAGTGTGGCTCTTCATAAGTAATCCTTGATCAGAAAATAACATCTCCCAGAAGCAAGTTCTGCTTTAACTCTAGTTAAATGATTTTGTTAAAAACTTTGAGGGGCCGGCCCCGAGGCATAGTGGTTAACTCCAGTGTGCTCCGCATCAGCGGCCTGGGTTCACAGGTTTGAATCCTGGCCGTGGATCTAGACCACTCGTCAAGCCGTGCTGTGGTGGTGTCCCACATGCAAAACAGAGGAAGATTGACACAGATGTTAGCTCAGGGCTAATTTTCCTCAAGCAAAAAAAAGACGAATATTGGCAACAGATGTTAGCTCAGAGTGAATCTTCCTCCCAAAAACGAAAAACAAAAAACCTTGGTTGAGTCCTGGTAGAGGAAAATGGCTACCCATTATACATTGATCTGTGGTATACTGTATTATTTAGGTTTTTTCATCTTTTCCAACATTTCTCCAAAAAGTTATCTTTCTCCTCCCAAACTAACTCCTAACATGCCATTTATAGGATCTTTGCGCTTTCAAGCCTCCTTAAGGAAAAGCTTCCTTCTCAGAGTTAATTATGATGTTTTGGCAAACGTCAAGAGTAGAAAGCTCTGTTGATTTAATTTAAAGCCTAAGGTCAGTTTTATTCTTAGATTTCTCTTCAACTTCATCTCTACTTCAGTATCTAGTTTCTATAGCGACTGAAGTACAGTTAGCAGCTGGGTCAGAAAAGAGAAAGCTTTAGATGTGAAGAAATTTGGTTTTTAAACTAGGGAGGGAAGATACCAGGCAACACCTTCACAGCTTTTCTGGGCTGAAGCCGACATTCTGTTTCCAGGAATTCTGTACTTTTTCCTGAAGAGGCCAGGCATTTATATTTCTCTCTTTCACACAGCCCCAGAAAAGATGGCTGCTTCTCTGTTCAACTATTTAATCACAGTCAATTAATTAATTAACCAAATTGAGACAACTAAGAGAGAGAACTCTTCTTATAGTGACCAGTAGAATTATTTCTTTTCAAATAGAATGTCTCTGGGAATTATTAGGTAAATTGTCTCTTTTCTTTACCTTGGATTCCTTAATGATAGCTTTTTCCTTTTTGTTTTTGGTTCTTGTTTAAGTGTGATTGAAAAAATCTAGAATGGTACTTTTGTCTGTGTTCTTAGTCTAGCTGGATTCAAGTGAGGATGCTAGACCTATTGCATCACTTAGGTGGGGAGATGTTGGAGGTGGGAGAAATGCTGTCCAACGTTAAAAAGGATAACATCAAGCGATGGCTTAAGTACTTACTGTTACATCTTCATGGCTTAAGTACTTAATGTTACCTCTCAGAAATGTGTATAGCACTTTAAATGAAAATATGTCCCATTGTTTTTAAAGTTAAGTTTTTGAAGCTGGAGGAAGATTAATGTTTTTTTATATTATAGGAACTACCTTCTGTTGAAGAACTCACTATTATTCTGCCTGAAGATATTGAATTAAAGCCCCTTGGGATGGTTTCAAGTATTATTGAACAATTAGGTATGTAAGTAATTTTATTAATGAAAATTAGCATTTATATCCAAACATACACTAATAATCAAATCAAAGACCTTATGACTAGTGAATTTTCTGTGAAATATATAACACTTCATTTATAGTCATTAAGTTTGAACAGATAAATTCAGTTTTTTCTTATATAAGTAATCCATAAATACATTGTCTTTATCAAAATTGAACGTCTGCTTTTATTGACATATTTCTTCAGCATTTTCTTTGGTTTGGTATATTTGTTTTCTATTGCTGTTAAATAAGTACAAGTTTAGTGGCTTAAAACAACACAAATTTATTATTTACAGTTCTGTGGACCATAAACCTGATATGATTCTCACTGGGCATCAGGGCTCAGTGCTTTTCTGGAGGCTCTGGGGAGAATCCATTTCTTTGCCCCTTCCAGCTTCTAGAGGCTGCCCGCATTCCTTGGCTCATGGCCTCTTTCCTTCATCCTCAAAGCAAATGATGTAGCTTTTCTCTGACCCTTCTTCCATCATCACGTCTCTCTCTGACCACAGCCCTGCTTTTAAAGACTCCTTAGATTGGGTCTATATGCATAATCCAGGATAATCTCCCCATCTCAAAGTAACCTTAATCACATTTGCAAAGTCTTTTTTTTTTTTCTTTTAATGTAAGGTAACATATTCCCAGGTTCAGGGATTAGGGTATGGTATCTTTTTTTTTCCGAGGGGGGTAGATTATTCTGCCTGCGGCCTTTGATTTTATTTTATAAACATGTAAATTAGAAAGTTCTGTGATTTAATACTGATATTAATGGCATGAAATAGGAAGCTATTGGATTATAAGAGAACTAGATATTAGAGATTTCTTTTAGCCCCAGGATGTGAGGTAGGTATATGAAAGGCCTCGAAGTTACTGTAGCTACCATTAACTCTCATAGTAAGATGCACCTGAGATTAGAACTCAGCGTTGACAAATCCGTAGGATTTGGAACTGGGAAAAAGACCTGGATTGTGCACAGCCCCCTTAGTTTACAGGACTTAAAGGACAGAAGAATTCAAGTCACTTGCTGTTATGATGAGTTGTATAATGAGTCACTGGTAGAAATGGGACTTTATCTTTGGACTTTTTTCTAGCAGTCCCATATCAATATTTTAAAAAACTAATACTTATATAATTTTGTACTTTTGCAATTTATTAATCAAAATTCTGATTAAAGTGAAATATTTTTTACAAAAATCACGGTTATTAAAACTCTCTACATGATTCTCGAGTCATTACATTTACTAGTTTTTTCAAGATACTGTTTTGACTAACACATCCTAATAGACTACCAAAATTCTCAAGTTGGTGGGAATTAAGATTGAATGAATCAAAATCAGTACATGCCACTCTGTTTTGAAAGCCTAAAATATCTAACATTGTTTGGATCAAATTACGAAAAAGAAAATACAATAAATATTAGTATATTAGGCAAAAAATATCAATGAATTCAAATTAGAATCCAAAGATGAAAAGAGAGGATTTGGCATTGTACTCTGCAATTCTTCTAGAACTTATGTTGGTTTGTTTTTCTTTCTTTTTTTTTGTTTTTACTTTGGAAAATACAAGAGGCTAATTAGATATTATCCATCGAGGTAGAAGTGGAGAGATTTCATGAAATTAAGGATCTTGTACTAGTACATACTTTCCTAGTATTGATAGCCTTTGAAAATTTCTATCAGTGTATGGTACAAACTCTAAATTTATTTGTACCCAACTACCTGTAACTGTGTGCCTCCTAGAATCATAATAATAAAAGAATGGGTCTTTTAGGCTGTGGAAACAGTCAGTGGTTGTGTTGTTATAGAAGAGCATTAAAACTAGGGATCTAGGTTCTAGTGATAACTCGGTCTCGAATTGGCCAGGTGATAACGTTAATCTCTTGAGTCTTGTTTTTTCATCTTTCTATAAAATGAGGGTATTGGATTAGGTGATTTTTTATTTTCATGTAATTTGACTCTTTGGGAAAGAGGTTAAGGAGGAGAGATGAGTGACAATGAATTCTGTTAGTGCGCATTATCATTATCAGTCTATAATCATCATCATTATTCCAGAAGCAGATCTAACTCAAAAAATGTTGATCCACGATCTGTTTACTTATATGTATGTTCAGAACTTAGAAGCACTGACTGTTGAAATTAATTGGGATACAATTGAAATTTTTTGAATGAATTTTAATAATCTGAACTACTGTATTTTGTTTCTCAAGTAGACATGGCATTATCTGTATAATGTGACAAAGTGTTCTTGCTTTTTGCTCTAATTTTCTAAGAACCTGTTGCACGTGTTTTTTGTCTTTGCTGAGGTAGATTGGTTGTTTAACATTTGTGGCACTTACAAGAGTTGGAGATTATGCTAGACTAGTGGGATAACACTTGGCTTTCTGAGAAGAAAAGGGATAAAAATTACTGTGAGCTCTATCATTCTTCATCTGTTCAGAGGAAGATGCTTTTGTGAAGTCTAACTTTTTATATGTCAGTAAGTAATCAGTGCATTGTAGAAAAGAATTTCTAGAGTGAGAATGAAGACTAATTTCTTACAGAAAAGGAATTTTGTGATTATACTTTTTTGGGTAAAAATTGCTTGAGGAAATGTATACAGCTGGAATTGGTTGACTTTTTAATGGGTGATTCAAGTTTTCTGTGAGATTTTATACTTTAATTTTTTTTTCTTAGAATTGTAGCTTTTTGTATTAAATAAAAATATGTAGAATCTATTTTTCTGTGCTACTTGGTAATAAGTAGACTTTGTTTATCCAAGAGGAATAGTTACTGAGGTTATTATTTCACCTTAAATTTTATTTAAGATTATGTTGGAATTAAAGCCTGAATTCCCATTTAAATTCCATGTTATCTTCTGATTAAATCTTGAAATAATCTGTTTTGTTTCATTTTTCAGTAATAATTGAATCTATGACTAACTTACCTCCAGTTAATGAGGAGACTGTAATTTTTCAAAGTGATCGACAGGCAGCAGGAAAGGTTTGTAAAAAATTCAGATCTTACAAATTATTCTGTTTCTATGTTGATTGGTTTTTTTGGCTTTCCCTATCTGTCCTAAAAAGAGTTAAATTTAGTAGGCGAGCAATCTAGAGCTCTCAAGTTTTAATATATTCTTAATTTTCTTTAATACTTCGTGTCTGTCTGTGTATTGGTTTAATACTGCTTATTACTTGTCATTAAATACACGTGTATAGATTTTTTTCCTAATGTTTGTCAGGTACTTTGCTAGGCAGTGGGTCTACATATTGAATAAGACACAGGTCCCTATTCTTCAGGTACTCAGTTGAGTGCAGGAGACTTTCCGTAGAGTAGTAGTTCTTAACTTTTTTTGGTTTGTGAGTCCCTTTGAATAGTGGCTCTCAAAACTTTTTAGACTTCGGCTTCATCAGGTGGAAGCTGAGACTGGAATCTTTTTAAGTGGAAAGAGATTTCAGTGCTAGCAGTCAAGTATTACTGTGAGCACATTTTGGGAAATGATGGATACGTGTACTTTAGTACTCACCATGAGGTTGGGTCCCTTCTAACACGTTACTAGTGGAACAACATACATATCCATCCTTAATATGGAAGACCACACATTTTAGCCAGCAGATGCACAATTCTGAGCAGTCAGCAGAGGATATAAAACCTTCTAAGATCAAAAATAAAATACAAACCAAGTGTTCCTTTTCTGGTAGTAGGGACAGTGTTTTATTTACCTCATTATTCCACACTGTACAAAGTACAGTCCTTTGTAAATTATATGCGCTAAGTAAATGTGTATTGATTTGAAAACGAACAAAGAAGCAGCCAACTGCTATCTTTGAAGGAGCAACTTTCTGGGTTTAGTTCTTCCCAGATAAGTAACAGTTGGCTTCTTTTTTTGTTCTAGGAGATAGAATTAATATTTAAACAGAAAAAACATGTATTTTGAACTCTATTATTGAGTCGTTCCCATAACCTTCCCTTTTTTCTGCCTTTTCCTACTATTCTATTCTAACATAAATTAGAAAGAGATCAGGTTTTTATCAGAGTCCTGCACCTTACACTACCTACGTATGTTTTTTTTAGGTTGACAGGCCAATTTACCAAAGAAAAATGAGTCACTTAGGATTTCAAAGCAGTGGTAGGATTAATTGGAGTCTAGAGCTAATATTTTTTGACAATTCTTGAGAAAGTTTGTGAGGGGAAGAAAGACTTTTTATTGTCTAAAGGATGATGCTGTACTCTTTTCCCTTTCAAAGACCTGTTCTTAATACTTTTGTTTCAAGTATGGGTACTGCCAGTGCCTTGATAAGGGGTTAGAGATATATTAGGGGGCTTAACCTCCAAGAAGGTTGAGAGAGAAAAGGAATGGGAATGAGAGGATGACTATGCTGTGAGTAGCTCTCCATGCCCATTGGTATACTTCTTTAGGAGAAAGCAACATTCTGCCTAGGTGCAAAAACAAAACAGTTCTTGCTGTCCTCAGAAAGTAGTAGAAGAGGAGAAGGGAGAAAAGGCAAGGGAAGTATATTTCTTGATTTTTTGACTATGAATTGAAACTGATGATTTCCATGATTCCTTTTATTTATGATTTTCACGACAGTTGCTTTTTTCTCTAAGTAGCTAACTTAGACAATTTTAATTTCAAAATACCGAACACTTTGCTAATTTAAAACCTCTAAACTCATTTTTCTTATATCCTGAATACATTTGAATATTCAGTCCTATAATTGTGACTAGTAATGTTAATACTCAGCTCTTCTGTCATTTGTCTTTGAAAGGAGTCAGATAAAAATGTAACATTTATGCCTCTAACTTTAGCTATATGACATATGTCTAGAGGGAAAAATTAAATCTATTTCTAAATTTTACATAGAAAGCTTTGTAAATTCAGGAAGTGACAAGTCTTTCAAAAATATTTGATTATAAATCTAAGCACCTTGCAGTGATTCCCTAAAATAAAGGCAGGAGTAGGGAGGGTTAAGACTATCTGGTAAACAAACCAGTGGCCAGAAAATGACACTGAATCGATTTTATTTTATTCAATTTATTTACTTATTTTTTGCTAAGGAAGATTCACCCTGAGCTCATATCTGTTGCCAATCTTCCTCTTTTTTTCCTTGAGGAAGGTTAGCCTTGAGCTAGCATCCATGCCAGTCTTCCTCTATTTTGTATGTGGATCATCACCACAGCATGGCTGATGAGTGGTATATGTCCGAGCCCAGGATCCGAACCCATGAACCTGGGCTGCCGAAGCAGAGCGCACTGAACTTAACCACTACACCACAGGGCCAGGCCCTGAATCGATTTTAGATCCTTAACATATCTCATCTAGACTCTGTATTAGTTTACCTTCACTGTCAGACCATTGCACATCCTTTTCCCTCTGCTCTTCAATAATAACGATAATCATGAGCCATACTGATAAATATTATGTGTATCTTTTTAAAGTCGCTGATACTGTGGAAACTGGAAGTGGAATTATCCCTGTTTACTGAAAAATCACAAAATTTTTGAGTTTACAGCCCAGTTGGTCTATCTGATTCATTTCCCTTCCACCTCCCTCCCTCTTACCCACTGATTTAAGGAGGGCAACCTCAGATTTGTATTCTACCTTTTCCCCTTTAATCCTAATAATGATTAATTCTTCTTGATAAACGATAAATGAAATTCCATTTTTAATGTTTAGTGCTTTAGTATCAGGAGATTTAAAAAAAATTGACCAACCTATGCCACCTGTTATCCCTAATAACATGAATTTGTTGGTTGTTTTGCATTTAGTTTTGAGTATTTGTTAGAGCAGATTTTGTTTTTATTATTGTTTATTTTACCTTTTAATAAACCAAAACAATGAAATCTATTTCCGTGTCAAATATCGTTGAGTAGGAATTTTTATTGATCTTTTTTTACAGAATACTTTATATTAGTCTTGGCTGGTAGTATGTGATGATTTTCTTAAAGTCCCATATAATTATTGATACAGTGGTTTTTTTTTTTTCCTCCCTCAGTAACTTGTGATATAGTAATATACACAGTGATGGAAATAATCATTTGACTTAACTAATGCATTAGAATACTCTTATTCTTTTCATTTTTATTAATGGGAAGTCAAAATAGTATAAAGTGATTGATAAGAGACATTCTGGATGGCTGTGAAAATTCACTTCTCCCCTTCTTCCTTTGGTAGTTTAGCCAAAAGCTGGCTCAACTGGAAAGACAATAATGCCTTTGGCTAATGGCATCCTTTGAAGGCTGTTCACAGGGCAGCAGCCTGCAGATCTTGACCCTCCACATGCACAGCCCTCCAGCCTTGTTCCCGGGCCTGGACATGCCGTGATATGTTTCTTGTTACCTAGAGAAACTAGTAGTTACCTATTCCCTCTTAGGCTAACCCATAAATATGTAACATGGTGTGTGTGGAGAGGAGAGGAGAGTGTGGCTTCTTCTCTCTCGGAACTCTCTCTGTGCATGTCCAGCCACCTGACTCAGGCAGGCCCCCAGCCGCTGGAACTTTTTGCCGTGTTGTCAACGGAACATCTAAGCCCAGCCTATGCTGTGGAATGAGAATTTGGGAGACTGACATCCTCGTACTTTCCTGCTTATCAGTTTTCTTCCCAACAGACCCTATGCTATATCCGTACTATGTGGTGGTAGTGGTGTGTGTTTGTGCTCCCTTTGTGTGACAGGAAGCCTTTGAGGTCTTTTAGCAGAAAGATACTATTTTGGAATAAGAGATGGTAAGTATTATAAGCTAGAGCCAAGTGGAAGGGCACTTTGAAAACCACCTCTCAAATGACAGGACAAGTATAAGACGTTAGGTGGATTAAATTTTTATATGAGTATTTCTACAGAATATACACTATTATTTAAGGTATAAAGAAAGCTACTTGCCCACCTTAAAGTAAATATCTTAGACATTACTATCCTGAGTTCTGTTTCTTACACTGTCCTTGCAGCCTATTTCTTCCTTTCCTTTTGTCTCTAGTGAGGTAGTATGGAAGTTGCGAAATCCCCAAAGTCAAGTGGAAAGACTGAGCAGGATTCAAAGTTGAATGGAACTGTGAGAGGAAGTGGGCTGGTCTTAGCCCTACTTTGTCAAAAGTTGCTGTTCACAGTTTAGCTCTCAGGTATTAGCCAGTCTAAGATCTATACTTTGAAGCTGATAGTTGTTTAAAATATCATTAAGTCCTTCTTTTCTATAATTCTGAAGTAGCTAAATTGCTTATGTGAACTCAGTCATGTATTCCTGTGACTATTTGAGGGAGGACCGTAAATACCTCTTAGTATTGGTGTATGCCGTATACTGATTTCATAATGTAGCTACCTGTTACCTGCTGTATGGGGTATTATTTTACTTAAAACTTGATAATGATTTTATTATAGCTGTGGCTCATAAATTCTTCAGATCTTAAGAATAGGCAACTAAGTATGCTTTGATTTTATCCAGAAATTTGAATCTCACTTACATTTTAGTTCAAACCAAGTCTGCATAAACCTGAAGCTATTAAGGCATTTCTTTAGTGAAATCATTTCTCACAGTTAGGAGATGGAATCATGCTGTCCAGGAAACAAGTTCTTGGGAAACAGCTTTATGTACCAGGTCACAAACAATGATTATTTGTTAGTACCTTGTACTAATGGTTTCTTAGGAAGTTTTTTTAAAGATATTTTTTATCCCTGTCTAGACTTAAAGAGTCAAATTTGTCTGTATTCATCAAGGGAGTTAAAAACAAAATGCAAATTGTTTTTAAGACTTTTTAAAAAGTGACAAATAAGATGATATATCACTTTAATGTATGTAATGTAGTCCAGTGAGAGCTGTGCTGCGGTATATCCCTTCTATCCTTTGCAGTTCTGGTTGGAAGGGGTCTACTGTTTTTATCTAAATCCATTCAAAGTAGATTTCTAGCTATTTTTAGAGTAATCACATCTTCAGAATCTTGGTACCCTGATAGGTGAGTTGTTTTATGCCATTTTGAGAATTAATAAAAGCTTGAATGGTATACTACAGAGCATAAAATGAAAACATTTAGTATCAAAAAGCAAGAACTGAGGATGTAATAAAACAGGTACTTTCAATGCAGTTGGTTTAAAATGGCCCAAGCTATTTGGAAAGTAACTTAGTAATTTACGTCAAAAGTTTTAATAATAATCATACTCTTGGTTCCAATAATTCCGTCCTTTACAAATCAATTCTCAGGAAATCTAAAGTACAGAAATTTACATATAACGATGTTCATCATGGCATCATTTATTATACTGAACAAATTGGAAGCTTCCTAAATGTCCTGTAGTAGAAGACAAGTTAAATAAATTGTGCTAGATCTATAAAAGAGTGTTATATAGCCACAGAAATTATACTTATTAAGAATATTTATAACATGGAAAAATTTAATGCTACTTTAGGTATTAAAAGAGAGCAGTATATAAAACTACAGTATAGTCTCAAAAGAAAAAAATTATTAATAGAAAAAAGACTGGAAAAATCTATACTGACATTGGTCATGGTCTAGTTTCTGTAATATACATATATTTATTATCAGAAACATTGTTTTTAAAAATTCAGGTATTTTGAGAAGAATTTAAAAACAAGAGACTTCCCTTTCATCATTCATAAAACATTTTCAGAAATAAATTGTGTCTGTGCTAAAAGCAGTTCCTTTACATAAAAGTTAAAGGCTGTATAGCATCTTTGGTTTTTGAGAAATAAGCAACTTCAAGTTCAAATCTACTTTTACTACTTTTTGAATTAGAAAACATTGTGGTTTAATTTTATAAAAATGATAACCACTATATGGAAACAGCAGAAGTGATTGAATACCTCTTGAAGCAGAGGTTTGTTTTTAAGTTTTGGGTCATAAGATCCCAGTTGACAGACGACATTTTATTTCTCAGAAGTTACCAGTTGTAATTCTTTTCTTCATACCTTACAACTTAGATGAGCAATGATAAAACCCAAAATTCGTAATTTGTATCTACTTGGTACCACCAAAATGATTTGAATTTAGCAAGAGAAAACTTGTTACACTGGTTTTAAATTCATAAAAAAGAAATCTGGAGTAAGCTAATGCATTTATAATCAAACTATGGAAACTTCATGGGTATGCAAAAATGACTTAAATTTTATTGTTCTGACATTGACAGAATTGCCTTGTTATAACAATTATCAGTGTTTTTTTTAAAATATTACTAACTTTTGAGTCATTTTATATGTTAAAGGAGGCCTTTATGTTTCTTCTATTTTATAGATATTTGAGATATTTGGACCTGTTGCACATCCGTTTTATGTGTTACGGTTTAATTCTTCAGAGCACATTGAGAGTAAAGGTATTAAAATAAAGGATGCTATGTATTTTGCTCCATCAATGAAAGACTTCACTCAATATATCTTCACAGAAAAACTGAAACAGTAAGTACTTTATTGACGTGTTAGCTGTTGTTTGCTTATCTAATGTTTATATTTTAGGAATAGTTCTCAGTCATGGTAGTTTCTTATAGTTAAATGGTATCTATCTTCCAAAGAGTTCATTTATCTTCCTAATAACATCTCTGAAAGTTTCAATTTATCAGATTTTACAGGTAGAGATCATTTATATCCTTTGGCCAAAATGACGTGATCAACTAGTAGGAATACATTTGGGCCATATAAATTTTCTGAATTCTAATTCATTGTTTTTTCCATTATATACTTTCTTTTATATATATACTCCCTCAGTATTAATATTACCATTTAAAAAAAAGTTCTTTTCCAATTTAAATAAAATTTTCTGTGGATTACAGTCACAAGCTTAACTATTTAATAAAACTTCGTAATTCTCAAAAGAAAATGAGTAAATTTTAGATTGTGTATAAATTGTGAATTTATGGAAGAGATAACTAAAATATGTCCCTGAAAAGTTATATATCAAGCTGTGATAAATAGGGTTGACTTAACTTACAAACCAGTGCTCTTCATTTTGTCTGTAAATATGCTAAATGATGCCTGTGGCATGTGGGTGGTAATATTTCTGCTCTCACTGGTTAATTGTATATTTTTCGTGTGTTAATTGTGTTACCAAGAGTTAGCTGTAGAACTGTTTATATCAAACTTATTATTATAATTAATTTAATTTTTATATAAACCAATGACATATAGTTCAAGTAGAGTAGTTTTTTCTATAAAAATAAGTTGAGTGCTTTGGAAATATGCAATGCTTATGAGCCACTAAAAAAATATTGTCAAATTAACAGTGGAAGAAAAGACCTCGAAAGATTAGGGGAGGGAGAGGATCTTGAATCCAAAAAGACTTAGCACTTAGTTTGACACACAAGTCCCTTTTAGGTCTAGCTCTCTTTTAGTTGGAAATTTGAAATATGGGTGAAGCACTAAGGATGTGGTTTTTGCAGGAAATACCAAGGAACTTCAGTCAGTGAGTAGCCTTGGTGCTACATCAAAAGTACTAGTCTTAGTTACATGGCGTTAAGGAGGTCTCTATACCCCTTACATATTAAATCAAGTTTCTGAATTTCATTTATTGTTTCATAGATGAAAATTTTGTTTCTGATCATTGATTAAATTCATCTTTAAAGATTCCCATAATTATCTGATGGAACATTTTGCCTGAGTTATTCTTCAGGCTGCATAAGGTCCACTGATAAAAAAGGGGAATTAAATAGATGGTAAAGTCGTAAAGGTTTTAGTATGTTTTAAAAGTGATTTAAGTGATGACTTAAATAATTAACATTTCATTCTGCTGTGAATATTAGGTTGTTGCTGTGGCTGTGCCATATATTTAGCTTTTAACAAAATATTTTAGCTTAAAACAGATAAACTGAAAAGTTTTCTGAAGATACTTATTAAATGGATTTTATATAGTGGGAGCAGTCTTTGTTCTTGATTTGCAAGAACAAGAATTTTGTCCTGGAAAGAAAGAACAATAAACTAAAGAATTGGAAAATTAGGCCTACCCTGCAGAAGCCCCACTTGACAAAGCCTCTTCCATTCTAGACTGCATTTTGGTGTGCGTCATGGGGACTCAGTGGAGTACTTTGCCTTTGAGGTGGAGGAGTTCAGCTTCTCTCCGGCTTACCCGCCTCTAGTAAGGCTATTTTAATCTTAGCCTCCCATGAACTTACTCTCTTGTTAGAAGTGCTTTTTGAAATGTTGCTTGATCTTTTCCTTAGTAGATTTTGATTTTTCCTGGTAAATGCACTGCTAGTTGGGAAACTCTTCCCATTTCTGTCTTTAAACTCCAGGCTAAGGGCACTACAGGCCATGAGATGGCATATATGCAAAGAGAAGTACTGGAGCTGTGTTCAATTCATAGGCGTAAGATGGTAATTAACGAGTAAAAGCTTTTTTTAAGTGGTGGAAAAATCACTGATAATGCCTCATACACAATGTCAAAAGTTCTGAATCAAAATTTTAGAGCAAACTTAATGATTTTCATATTGTGCCAGCCCACTGACATCTGTAAATGGATTTTTATGGATTAATAGATTAATGATTTCAGTGAATTTTCCTAAGAATCTCATTTATTTTTGAGATCTAGTTTAAAACAGTGAGGACATCTACTCTTAATACTTTGTAATATTTTAATGTAATTGAACAAGACATTGTCAAACTATGAAATCAAAAAGATTAAAAAAATAAAGATTAAAAATGAGCTTTCAGAAATTATAATCATCCTCATAGTAGATATATGTATTTTTGTTGGTCACAGAGTATAAAACTTTCCACTAAAAGTAATTAATGTTTGTGATTATACTGTCTTTTAGAATCTTCCAAGCTCCTCCTCCCCCCCAAACTAGATAGCCTTTATTTTACCCTCTCTGCTTTAAGAATCACTGTTGAATTAGCCTTGGTTACTCATGGAGTATCGTTGATATTCCTCAGGTAAATCAAGGAAATAGAATTTCGTGTTTTTATCTCTACCATTAAACCTATAAAATCTTAGACAGGGAATGCGTCATATTCGTTTTTGTGTCCTTAGTGCCTGGAACAGTGTCTGACCTATAGTTGATGTAGAATAAGTATTTATTGAAGTAAACTTTATGGACTGAGCTCAGGTATCAGGAAAGTGTCAATCAAAGTCATAGCATTTGACGATGCTTATGAACTGCAAAACCACTTCCCCCTGCACACCACGGCCTTGGCTTCTCATTCTGATTCCAGTCCTAATATTTATGTATGTCCAAATGTTGTGTTTTTCTTATGAGCTTCTCACGTCTTCTGAAATAACGTAAAGGACATATAAATGGCCCTTTATTTTTTGCTCTTATTTTCATGTCTGTTGCAAAATTGAGGGTTGAGCTCATGTCTTCCACTTTATTATTTTCCATACTGTTAAGTTATAAGCACTTAACAGAATCTTAATAAGTACTTCTTTGATTTTTTGTTTTCTCTTTCTAGGGATAGGGGATCAGATGCATCATGGAAGAATGATCAGGAACCACCACCAGATGTAAGTATAAATATTTTTACACAATGTTTTAGAAAGTAAGGCAGGACTTAAAAATTCATCATTCTTGACCTTACCGAGGTCCCTATTGTTGCACGGCAGTCACCCTGCCTTCTGCAAGTCCATGCACTCTCCCGCTCCCAGGTGACTGTTTTATACCTCTTGATAAGAGGTTTTGGTTGATCATTTTAGAAAAAGAATATTTTGTCACATTTCAGTAATTATCAGCTTATCATTTTCTTTGTAATTTCCTATTCTTTTTAATCAATTTCATTGATACCTGGTAAAGGCAGAATTGTCATTATTTTTAAAAATTTTGTTCTTCACTTTAGTTAAGTTCATGTGGAACATGAAGACATTTATTAATGGTGCTTTTAATAAGCTGCCCTTCTTTTGGAGATTCAAAATCACTAGAATCTACCCACCTCTCCATTTTTTACAATATGATTACCTTCCTAAAAAGAGAGTTCTTGATTTTCTTTCTTGAATCCATGTCAGCAAGACTAGTTTTTTGTCCCAAAGTAGCTTGATATACAGTCTTTCTAGAGATATGAATAGTCAGGAATAATCTGTATTATTCCTGTTAATACATAAGTGTTAAATAAATAATTTGGTTTATTTTTGATTTAACTTCCCCTGGAGATGTTTAAGCATATTTTCTTTTTTTTTTAAGTTATTGAAATACAAATTATGAGTGTATACATTTCTTGAAAATAGTATGAATTTATACAATATAAAAGCAAAAATAGATGTGTTAGATGTTCTCAAGCAATGCTGAAGATTCATTTTCTATGTTGATTTCTAATTTTGCTGAGGCATGAATCAGGGAATGCCCACTCAGAGAGTCACTTAACCAGTGAGGGATCCTCGTTTAGTACCCACATTGCCATGGGATTATGTTTTCTAGTTGTGCCTGAAGATTCACTTAATGTTCTTAGTTATGTTTAGGGAATCTTATTACTGAAATTATGTTTCTAAAGTATTCGAGAATTCACAAAGGTCTTGAAACATATTCTTGTGAAATGCAAATATTCCAGTACATTCCTGTTGTTTCAGACCTAAGCATTGAAGTTGCTAGTTATGGTAATGTTAATTGTTTATAAAAATTGGCTTGATTTGGTTAATTATAAAAATTAAATCTCAGCATACTTCATGGGGTTTGTTTTTTTCTAAGCAGTTGTTGAATGTCTCTCATTTCCATAATATGGAAAACTCTGAGATTCTAAAGTTTATTTTATTATGATGAAATATTGTAGTATAGAATTATTGCCTGGTATTAATCATAGATTAGAATTTGGAATTATAGGGTTTAAACTTTAAAAAAAAATCATACTGTGAAAATGGGAAATGGGCTTGCTTAAAGGAGCTAAAAATTACTTATGGGGAATGCATGTTCTTCATCTTCCTATGTGTTTCTAGCATTTCTGGTTGAATACATGTGTTTAATGATTGCAAATTTAAATTAATTTGTATACAAGAAAAATGTGTATTTTTCTATGATTTTAGGAGGTGATAGCAAAATATGGCCAAAGTAGTCTCTCTAAAATAAAGTACTGCCAATTAAAATCCTTTAATACCTCCCTGCTGCTCTTAGGATGATGCCCAGTTATTTAAAATAGCACAATAAGGTTCTTTATTCTCCGATTTATTGTCTCTGATTTCGCTATATAAGCTTTCACTTTGCCTCACAGAACCATTTTCATTTCTTGAACATGCTGTGCCTCTGCACATATTCCCACTCCTTGAACATTTTCTTTCCCTTGTTTTCACTGCTAACTAGTCATTACAGATTTTCCTTGAGTTACCCATGCCAGGAAGTCTTCCTTGCCCTTTTTTTCTTTCTTTGCACTAAGTTCATTGGTTTTATTCATCTATTTTAATATTTGACTGAATATTTTCAGAGAAAGGAATGTTTTCTATCTGATCCTAATACTTTCTAGTGTCTGGCAGATATCAGATTTAACATGAGCTTAAAAACCTTAGTGCATTAAGATTAGTAATAAAAGACATGTACTTGAAGGTACTAAAATTAGTTGATGTTTTTGAATTTGGTTCTAGATTGTGAGGTGTATGGACTCTTGGTTGATGGAATATTTGATCTAGAATATATTTCAGCAAGTCTACTGAAAATCCCATACAAAGACTTTTTGTATACCTTTTTCCCTTCTTTTAAATGTGCACACATGCATGCACAATGAGCCTGCTTTCATATTTTTTCATAAAACATATATTATATTTTCTGACATTAATAGAATAATAAAGTGCCTGAGAACCAGCCCTCGTGCTCTAGCTGTTAGGATGTGGCGCTTTTACCACCGTAGCCTAGGTTCGTTTCCAGGTCATGGAACCACACCACCAATCAGTTGTGATACTGTGGCAGCTGCATGTTGCTGTGATGCTGAAAGCTATGCCACCAGTATTTCAAATACCAGCAGGGTCACCCATGGTAGACAGGTTTTAGTGGAGCTTCCAGACTAAGACAGCCTAGGAAGAAGGACCTGGCCACCCACTGCCGAAAAAAATTGGCCATGAAAACCTTATAAATAGGAGCAGAGTGTTGTCTGATACAGTGCTGGAAAATGAGAAAGATCGGGCAGGGTTCTGCTCTGCTGGATACAGGGTCACTAGGAGTTGGAATCGACTCAGTGGCACTAACAACAAAAAATTCCTGAATTCTAAGAAATCATAGAAGTCGTAATATATATGAATAGCTCGTAAGTCTTGTTTTTTTGGTGGGCTATAACAGTGAAGCTCAATTCTTAGTACATCTGACTTTTCCCTCTTGTAATTGAAAATAATTTCCCCTTGCAAGTTGGGTCATGCATGTATCTGCTTATGAAAACCTTTTCCTGCTGTCCTATATAAATAGCATCCCTAGTGATTTTCTCCACCTTTACTTTGCCTTATTATTTATAGCCCTTACTATACCTGACATTATATTATTAAAAGAATTCATATCTGTTAAGTGTTTAGAACAGTGCCTGGCATATAATGGGTCTGTGTAAATTTTTGAATGAATGAAAGGTATAACATTCTCTTCTAGTTTTCTATTAGATCTGATAATTTATGATATTTGCTTATTCCTAACTACTCCTTTAGCATCATTTGGCAGCTGGCAGTATGATGCATCTTGACTTAGAAGTCAGACTTCTAGCTAGGGATTACCCATATCTGAAGGTTGTTCAAGACGGGCATTTTAAAGTTACCTATCTGAAACTTTCTAGGAATTAAAAAAAAAAAAAAAGCCTTGAGTTCCCATCTTGATTATTGGCCTGTGTTAATTAAGAGTCATTAGGCATTTATCAAAAAATATTTTTCTATCATATGTAGTTAATTCGAATATACTGGAAAATATTAAGTATTGAAAAGAGTAATTTTCTTTCAGGGTCAGTATTAAATAATAGGCTTATTTTCCTCACTTCCAGGTATGTACCATTGAATTGGTAAATCCATGTGACATAAATCTGTAATTTTTTTTTCCCACAAGGCCTTAGATTTCAGTGATGATGAAAAGGAAAAAGAAGCCAAACAGAGGAAAAAATCTCAGATTCAAGGCAGGAAAAAATTCAAATCTGAATTTAGTGAATCAGGTGAGTAAATGCAATATATAGTAATTTTTTAAAGTCTTTATTTACATTTATATAAGTTCATCAGTAATGAAACTGAAGGAAACGTCCAGGTTCTCTTTTTTCCTCCTGGCATCCAGCTAGCGTTGGAGGCATTACATAGCATGGAATGTGGTGGGAGAGAGTCAGAAGGAATATTCAGTGGTAGTTTTTCAAGCTTAAGCGTGTGAAAATGGCTTTTAGGGATAAAAGGCAAATTAAATATTGTTTGAGTCATTTGTGCTTATCATTTGTGCTTTTTTCTTAAGAAACGTATTTGCTTCCATGTTTATAATTAAGTGATACGGTACTTAATACTCAAATCAAGGTATTTTATTTTTCAACGTGCATTCCCTTTTATTATACCTTTCCTGTTTTCTTTGTCCTTTTTTAAAATTAAACTTTTTGTAGATTCACATGCAGTGATAAGAAATAATACAGAGAGATCTTGTATGCTCATTACCCAGTTTCCTGCAGTGGTGACATCTTGCAAAACTATACAGTACAATATCACAGCCAGGATATTGACATTGATAGAATCAAGATACAGAACATTTCCATCACAGAAGATGATCCCTCATGTTGCCTTTTTATAGTCACTCCCACTTCCTCCCTCCCACCTCCTCCTTAACTCCTGGCAACCACTAATCTGTTCTCCATTTCTGTAATATATTTTGTCATGTCAAGAATGGTTATATAAATGAAGTCATACAGTATGTTACCATTAGGGATTGGCTTTGCCACTGAGCATGATTTTCTAGAAATTCATCCAGATTGTTGTGTGTGTCAAGTGTGTTTCTTTTTGTTCCAAAGTATTAGTCCGTGGTGTGAATATACCACAGGTTACCTATTCATGCATTGAAGGACATCTGGGTTGTTAACAGTGTTTGGTTATATGAATTAAGTTGCTTTATACATTTGTGTACAGGTTTCTGTGTGAAGACAAATTTTCATTTCTATGGGATAAATGTTCAAGAGTGCAATTGCTGGATTATATTATAGTTGTATGTTTAATTTCTTAAGAAACTGCTATCCTGTTTTTCAGTGTGGCCGTACCACTTTACATTCATATCACCAATGTATAAGTGACTCAGTTTCTCTGTGTTCTCACTAGCATTTGGTGTTTTCACTATTTTTTATTTCAGCCATTCTGATAGGTGTGTAGTGGTATCTAACTGTGATTTTAACTTGCATTTTTCTAATGGCTAATGACATTGAACATCTTTCCATGTGCTCATTTGCTATCAGTATGTCCTCATCAGTGATATATTTGTCCATGTCTTTTGCCGATTTTCTAATTGTATTTCTTTTTTTTTACTCTTGCATTACGAGAGGTTGTACATAATTTCTTCTAGTCTGTAGCTTGTGTTTTCATTCTCTTAAGAGGTCTATTTGCAGAACAAAAGTTTTTAATTTTGATGAAGCCCAGTTTATCAGTTTTCCTTGTATGGAGTCTGAGAATTTCTTGCCTAGACCTATATCCCAAAGATTTTCTCTTATTTTTTTTTTCTAAAAGTTTTGAAAATTATTTTAAGCTCTTCTAGTTCCTTTG